TTCCAACCAACCAATTTACAGGCCTTTCACTTCCTCCCGCCGGGAGGCGTACCCTCGCCCATCACCCCTTCCCCAACCACCTTTCCAAAAAACTTCCGATACACATCTTCCCATTCCCTACTCAGCACCCCACCGCAGACAACGACCAGACTCCCTCTTCGCGAGATGACCCTTAACACATCCCGATGCACTGTCCAATATTAGCTCTCACCCCGCCCCCGAATCCCATCTTTAGCATAACAGAGCAAGAGAGAGAGAACAAACCAATCCCCCCCAAACACTTCCTCGTAATCCCATACCTTCTCCCAAACTCCGCCTCCCCTTCTCCCCGTAGAGCATCCGCGTCACCTTCAACATCCCCGCCAAAAAAGTCATCTGTGAGCACCGGCGTCGTCGGGAATGTGTGTCGTATCCAAGCGTTCTCGAGCGACAGTGATTCCAACCGCAGGAGGAGCTTGTGCGTGCGTTTCTGGGCGAGGGTGTTCTTGCGCGATTCGTTTAGGAGGGTTGTTAATGTGTTTGTCAGCGAGGTTAGCTTTTGGAGGAGGTGGGGGGTTGTCGGTGTTGTGGATGTGTCGGTCATTTTGGCTGTTGATTTCTTTGATTTTTGGTGGGGGGGGAGGGAAGCGTGTGTTCGGAGCCTTCGGGAGCTTTAGAGGAGGTGGGTGGGTGATGGACGGAGCTGATAAGGGAGGGTAACTTGACTTTTGTTGTGTGTGTGAAGAGGGTTTGGATTCGGTGTCTGGTTGGTTGGTGGTGTCGGGGTGATACCATTGGTTTGGGTTCGGTACTTGCTTGGAATCGAGTGCCTGTGATTGATGGAATTGATGTGGGGTACTGGGGGGTATTTACAAAGTGCAAAAGGGAAAAAAATGAAGAAAATGAGGGAGAAAAGTCGGGTATGCGAAAAAAAAGCCCATCACGGGTAAGATATTCATCTGAAAGAAAGAGGGAAAAGAGCGCTCTGCTGCCCAAGCAAAGAAAGACACCATTTTTATCTTTAAAAAATGAGATCCTCATCCTCCTTTTCTTCTAGGATATCTGGAACACCCTCACCCCCATCGTCGGCCCTATCAATTGCAGTAGTCCCTGCTTCTGCCATCTTAGCACGAAGTTCCTTGTCTGCCTCCTCGGCATCACGACGCTTTTTCCCTTGCACTTTCTTAAGCCTATAAAACTCCTCGCGGTCCAACTCATCGAGTTCACTGTTGATATACCTGATCGTATTCTCCGTGCGGGGGATAATAACATGCTCGATAGCATTGACGCGACGGTTAACGACTTTGATAACGTCATCGAGGATTACGAACGCCGTCTACCCCCCCATCATAGCCGTGAAATTAGCCATGCACCCATCTCTTCCTCCCCCTCCTCCCCCATATTTAAGATAAGGGAGGAAAGCATACTTGCAAACTCGCCAACTCAACCAACGTCTCCACCGCCTTCCCATAAACCTCCCTGCACTGCTGCACCTGCTGCCCGCCCCCTGCCCAACCCTGGGAGACCAAAATCCGAGTTCCCTTCCGCGATGTAACTCTCGAACACGGGCAGCACCACGCCCGAACCCTTTCTCCTGATTAGTCCTCACGCGGAACCCAGCAGTCTTGACGCTCTCCTGCACTTGGTAATTTAGGTTCGAGCCTCCGCCTGTAGCGTAAGTGACTTCTGCAAGGGAGAAGGCAGCGATCGACATCACGCGGCCCATTTTTCGCTTGGCTTCATCGATACGCTGGGTTATCTCGCGGAAACGTTTCGTCAAGGCCTCGGATTTTCGCTTAAGTAGACTATGACCTTTGTTTGTTCGGACATTCCTGTTAGATTTGGTTGTGCGCTTGTTGGAGGGAGTGGGGATGGAATATGAACCTGTTTCGGCGCCTTTAAGCTTGGATTTCATTAGGCCTAAGGACTGGCGCGTTGCAAAGACTGCTTCACGGTTCTAGCGATTGGCTGGGTTAGATTCAATTCCGCGATGACGGACAGAAAGGAAAGAAAAAGAGAACTCACACTGGCTCCTGACATGCTGGCGGTGTTCCTAACGATGGTGGTTGCGGTGGTGGTGATAGGGGTGGATTTTTGTGGGGTTGCAGAGATGTGAAGGTTGGGACTGTAGCTTCGGGAGTCTCTATGGATATTGTCCCCCGCTATTGTGTGCAATGACGACGTGGGGTCGCTGGTGACTTGATCTATGCTAGCACGCGTAATATGTGTTACAACATCTCACGAGTCACAATTTGTGAAGGAAAGCAGCTTGTAGCATTGTAATAATATTGTAATAATGTTATTAATTATTATCATTGATTAAATTAGAGGCTTTTGGAAACACACCAAACTCTATCTAATAG